GGGTTTTGGTTTTTGCCACATCACACTTGAAGATGGATTATGTTGGGTATTTTTTTAAATTTTTTGGATCTGGGCTGTTTTATTTTTATTATTTTAACCCAATTAACTTGCTTCTGAGAACCCTAAACCAACGATGTTCTTCGTCGTTGCTGTCTCCTTCCCTTTCTATTTCTTCAACGGTTCCAATTCTCTAACTCATTGTTCATCAATCGACACCCTAGACCATGAAATCATTCCAACGTCCTCAGCTATGGTGACTACAAAAGCCCAGAGGATTGTGAACAGCCAATTGTATGTTCCCTGGATTTTTCTCTGTTTCATCAAATTTGTTTTGATATCTTCTCTTTAAATTTATTTCTGGGTGTGGCGATTAGGAAACAAGTGATGGCTTCCGATAATGGGTACCAAGGAAACACTCCAGCGGCGTCAAACGGATCAAAGCCTCAAAATTAGTGTAAGTGATCATAATTATTTTCCCTATGCATTCTTTAGCTATGGATCCGAGCTCAATAAGCATGAAGCCATGAACTATGTAATTCATAGCTTAATCACCTCTCTACTTGCATCAATTATATTCGTTTTCTCTTTTTTTTTTCAGGTTCATGAAATGGCTATGGTTTCAGCTATACAGGAAGCTCAAAAGGATAACGTTCGAAGCTTTAATGATTACATAGTGCTGGAGGTAATGCTATCCATTAGTAGCTGTGTGAAATAGAGGCGTGTATTTTCTTCCCTTATTCAATATTCCCTACTTCCTCCACAAAGATTGATGAGTTAGTAGCTGTGTGAAATAGAGGCGTGTATTTTCTTCTTTCCTACTTATTAGTTGTCTACATACTTACTAGCTTTTGAAGGAGATTTTTCTTGGCTGGACTTTTGAAGGAGATTTTTCTTCGCTACACAAGTATTCATTTCTGTCTCTTTTGTAGCTTTGTTTTTCTTGATGATAACAGCTACTACATCTATTTGGGTGTTGTGTCTTTAGATTACCGTCTATACAAATACTCAAGTGCTGTCTGAAATAATTTCCTGATATTTCTATCCCCTTTAGTAATCATTCTGACATGTGTCTTGCTTTCCTATTCCTGTTCCAGGCTGCTCTTGGTGGGTCTGTTAGAAATTTGCAAAGGATTCGTGCTTTCCTTAGGGTTAGTGTAGAGCTTAACACTAATCATATGTTCAAAAGCTTTTTAGCTTTATTATTTCTTATTTTTATTTCTATGCAGATTCTTTTGAGAGAATATGTAACTTTAGATTTTTGATTCACCTGACGCCTCCAATCAGTAAGGGTCTTCTTCCAAGATCATCAACTTTGGCAACAGCTACCCATGTCATCAGTAACTGCAGAGGACCTTATCAGTTGAAGAGGTCCGTTGTATATAACTGGAAGCATGTTAAAATATACAAATACTTGAGAGAAATGAGCACCTTGTGTAATCAAAGTTCTCGAAGGGCTCAAGCCAAGTTCTGGGCAGATTATATCGATAAAAAGCTATAAAAGAAAATATTTAAGATAGGTCAAGAATATTTACATTAGTGTTTGGTTTGATCTGATAATAATTTGTGGTTTAGGTGAATGGTCCGACGAGGTTGATATGGGCAGGGAAAGGAGAGGAGCTAGAAGCAGGGAAGAAGGAGTTCATTGAGGTGCTCAAGACGCTAGAGACCGAGCTTGGAGACAAGACTTACTTTGGAGGCGAAATGTTCGGTGTTGTTGATATAGCCTTCATTGGATTCTATAGCTGGTTTGATGCGTATGAGAAACTTGCCAACTTCAGCATTGAAGCTAAGTGTCCAAAGGTAATTGCTTGGGCTAAAAGGTGTCTGAAAAGAGAGTGTGTGGCTAAGTCTCTTCCTGATTCGGACAAGGTCACTACGTACATTCCTGAGGTATCGAGTAGTTGTGTTATACTTTAGTTTCTGTTCTGTATTTTTCCTTTTCAATATCTGTCGTGTTTCTGCTTTGTTCAGAGTCATCATAATAATGTAACATCCTTTGATGGTTTTACTGTACGATAATTACTTCCCGTTTGTAATTGAACTTACACCAGATTCGGGTTGTTATAATAAAATTTATTTTTTTTAAAAGAAAGAAAAAAAGCTTCAATGTATTACCTCTTTAACACAATTAATTCGTTTAAAGTATTCTTTTATTAAAATGTTGAGATAGTATATTTGAAATTAACATTTATAGATATAAGAAATGTTAAGCAATGTGGCTTGAGCAATATTGGTCACCAGCACTGATTTCTTTTGTTGAAAGGTCTAGAGAGAAGTTAAAGAAAACAAAACAAGAGTCGTCTATTTGTTGGAGTTCTCTCTACTACACCACAAATGTCCATCTTCTTATATTCATGTTTATCAACTGAAAATTTCTATTACAAATATTCCATGAACTCTACGTATTTGAAAATATGGCATATGTCATGAATACTTTCTTCAAATATAAGAATATATAGGTTGCTTTTCAAAAACAAAAGAATCTAAAAGTTGTGTTTCTATTGACAAAAAAATATAATTACAAATGCGTTTATGATGATTGTAGATATAATAATAAAAAATCATTTAATTTTACTCCAAATATTTATGTTTAGTTCTTATTAAAAGTAAATGCCTCTTACCCTAAAATCCTAAACTATATACATTTACATTGAAATATTGGAACCATAGGCTTTGGTTTTACCCAAAAAACAATCTAATGTTTATATTTAACTTATGAAAAATTATGATTATGTAAAATAGAAACTCAAAAAATATTATATTATGTGATCAATACTTTCAAAATCATGAAAGAGCAATAACCACACATCTCCTCTCCATTTTTTTTTTTGTTTCATATAGTTGGAATCATTTTTACAAAAACTTTATCTATGTGAGATAGTGGAAAAAGTTTTTAAACTAAAGTTATCCATTTATACCAATAACTTAAGCCCAAATAGTAAAATAAAATCAGTTGAAAGCTGGTCAAACAAAAAACTTTTGAAATAAAATAAAATTAATTACTATGTTTCTATAATACTAGATTTTCATTTTGACACTTTTCACACAAATCAAAATATAATTGAATTCATGTTTATCCCTAATAGTTACATCTGATTAACTAAATTCATTGAGATATTAAGGTATTTATAAGATAACAATCAATTTTTTTACAATAAATACTAAGTTAAATAGGTATAACCTTTAAAATTATACTGAAATTATAAAATGACACAATTTGTGTAATAAGAATAAAAAATTCAAACAATGTCATTTATAAAACCAGATTTACTTACACATATAAATTGAATATAAGCATAAAATTAGGTTCAAACATAATTCTCAAAAACTTAACTAAATCTTTACAATTATCAAAGAATTCAAAAGAAAAATAAGAGTCAAGTTCTATACATGAATTATAACTACACCTTCTATATGTAGCTCAAAGTATAATAATCATTCGTGTTGTTTTTGTATTCTAAACTCAATTTTAATATTATAGTAAACTAATTTAAAAATTTATTATGAAAATGCAAGAACGAAACTATATCATAAACATCATATAAAAATATGGATTATTTTATATTCAAACAAAAAAATTAATTATGAATTTTTAAAAGTGATTATCCGCGCGTAGCGCGAAAAAACGATCTAGTACGCTTAAAGATAATAGAAATCACTATTTCATACAAAACACGTAATCTTTCAAATTTCCAAGATTTGAGATTTGGCGTTTTAAATGCGGCTGCAAGCGGTGGGAACAGTAAAAGACAAGACATTTAGGTAAATATTTCCAAGACATTAATATTCGTTCTAAGGTATTTATGTTTTAATTTATTTACTGTTTGACTTGAATAAATGAAAAACACTTTGAAAATAGTTTGAAAGCTGACTTCGTATAAAGAAGAGATTATATAAAGATCAAAAAACTCATCTTTTTCAGATTGTATCATTTTTTCATTATTGGAATCTACTTTTCAGACCCACTACGTATAGTTAATATAATTTTCTCTCTTTTTACTGACATTTAATCAATTCAATATAAATACCATTTTGCTAAAAATCAAATTTTTTAAATGAATGTTAAAATTATTTAAAATCTTAAAATTCAAATTAAAAAAAATTAGTTAAAATGATATAGCGTACTGTGTTTTTCATATTTGTAAAGTTTTAGGTAAAAATGTTTCTTTATTTTTCTCTATTTTCATTTTTAAAATTTTAATGTAGAAAAAGTTTAGAAAATAAAAAGTTTCAATACTTTAAAAGTTTAATAAAAATCACTGTTTTTTTGGAAAATAATAAAAACCATTATAAATACATAAATTTCTCAAATTACCACAAATTTCACTTAGGTTATTTGGAATCCAAAGTTCTCTCCATACCCTAGTGTTAATACGGTCGATATTGTTATCATGTGGATTGAAATATCAAATTTGCTCATATCATATAGCTTGTATATAGTCTATAGATTTTCTGAAGAGCGAGAGTTTGCAGATATCTTTTTAAAAATAAACTAGATTAGTAATCTTAGAATTAATTTCAGGGTTTTGAATTAGAAACGAACAAGAAAATCATATTTTTCAGAGTGCATTGTCTTTTATATCGTTTTTATATAATGTCGGTATATACACGTTTTATTAATTAACGTAAACCCAAAACAACTCTTTTAAAAAAAAAAATGACCTTGTGCGGGCTGATTTCAAAAAATAATTAAAAAATATCGTGATGATCCATAATCTGATTTTTAGCCGGCTAATATATAAAATATAGAGTAAAAATGGAGGTGCGGGGAATCGAACCCCGTGCCTCTCGCATGCGAAGCGAGCGCTCTACCATATGAGCTACACCCCCAATTGATACAAGTTGAGATCGCTTATTATATATAATTCTGATTATGACACCAAACAGTATTTTCAAACCGTATCAAAGAAGATAGTCTTTGGTCGAAAAACAGAAAGACCAAATCAAAACTCTATTCTTCGTGTTCTGTTTTTTCTTTAGTGGTTTCCGAATTTTCGATCATGGCGACTGATGAAACGATACTCAATCACCTGAAGAAAGAGATCCCAGTAGATGAAGAATCCCTTCTTCTAAACCATGACTCAAGCGTCGGTCTCGTCATCGTTGACGTGGTCAACGGTTTCTGCACCGTTGGCTCCGGCAACATGGTTCTAATTTCTAACCATGCCCACCAACTGTTTGTGATATTGCCTTGACTGACTCAAACGTTTACAATTCCCTTTTTTGATTCCGCAGGCTCCAACAAAGCCCAACGAACAGATATCAAAGATGGTAGAGGAATCCGCAAGGCTTGCAAGAGAGTTCTGCGATCGTAAATGGCCTGTCTTTGCGTTTTTAGACTCTCATCTTCCTGATGTTCCGGAGATTCCTTATCCTCCTCATTGTATTATAGGGACTCAAGAAGCAGAACTTGTTCCTGGTACTTTCCTCTCTCTATCTATTAATGTTTTGTTGGATTCTGAAACTAGTGACTCACTTTGTTTGATATGAGGATGAATCAGCTCTACAGTGGCTTGAAAGTGAGAGTTGTGTCACTCTTAGGAGAAAGGATTGCATTGATGGGTTTGTGGGTTCGATGGAGAAAGAGGGTTCTAATGTGTTTGTGGATTGGGTTAAGGAGAAACAGATCAAATCTGTAAGTTTTCTTTCTTACATAACATGATCAATTCTATGCTTTTAGTTACGTTTTGAACTAACTTGATCATTCTTGTGTGTTTTGGGGATGGTCTAAAGATTGTGGTTGTAGGTATATGCACAGACATATGTGTGTTTGATTTTGTGGCCACTGTACTCTCTGCTCGAAACCACAGTGTTCTTCCTCCTCTAGAAGATGTGATAGTGTACTCACGTGGATGCGCTACTTTTGACCTTCCTCTTCATGTTGCAAAAGACATTAAAGGCGCTCAGGCTCATCCTCAGGTATAAGATTTCTCCTTTGATGCTTCTGAAATTAGCATCATTAGTTTCTTTTTCCCTTCTGGTGAATAAGACTTTTGAATCGGCTCATCTTCTTGTGCTCTTTTGTTGTGTTTCTTTGTATCAGGAGCTGATGCACCATGTAGGTCTATACATGGCTAAAGGAAGAGGAGCTAAGGTAGTCTCTGAAGTTTCTTTTGATCCTTGAAAGACTATCTTGAAGTTGGCATTTTTATGTTGTAACTATTGTTCGTGAAGCTTGTTTGATGAACATTAACTTACATGTATTTGAATTCTTATTTGTCTAAAACTCTAAATGAAATGTTTCAGTTTGATTTTACTCTGAGCTTTTGATAGACACTGTAGAGTCTTAGCATGGTCTCATAAACACAATCATGAAAACACATATGAACAAATAAAATTACAAACTCTGTTTCTCTTGTAATGGTTCTGAGACATACAACCTGTGAAGATGATACTGGGGAGACATTCCTCTTGTTTCTCCAGTTAGAAGCTGTGAACAATCTCCAATACTCAAAAAGAACAAGCCAACACACAACACTATTGTTTCAGTCTCGCCCTCAAGGAAACACAGGTAAAGAAAGACACATGAATCAAATCATCCATGAATCTGTATTTTGTAATATGTAACTGTTTACCTATGTAGAAGCCTTCATCTTTCTATATAGTGAGGGATGCATGCAGGAGAATATCGACGGCTTTGCTCTCTTCTGTTTTGAGCCAAAGATGAATGACCTCAAGGGCACCCTTGAGCGACTATCCGAATGCTGTAGATCATCAGGATCTGATCTGTTCTTCGAACCCGAAATAGAAAACTCATCGTTTAGCTTCCCTAGAGTCTTGTCAACCTCGAGCTGAAGCGTGGTAATGTGATCCAACCCCGCCTGTAACTCGTCTGCAACTTTGTTGTTCTCCTGCTTCATGTTCAACACCTCACCTTGAAACTTAGCAGCTTGGTAGCTCGTGAATCTGAAGTCATCGTCTTCAGCACTTGACTTCAGAGCCTTTGTGATCTCTTCCTGAATGTTACACAGAGACTCGAATCTTGTTTTCAGTTCCTCTTTCAATGCTGCACCTTTCTCGAGCCAGAGACCAAGGTCTGTGTTTATCTCCCTCAAGTGTAGATAAAGTGGTTTAGCATCTGATCTCACTGCATCTTGCTTTAGCTTTGTTATCTCGCCTTGTAGATCTTCTATTGATGTGTCGTAGCTTTGTATCTGTCCAAACGCTGTGCTGAACCTTAACCAGAAATCCAAATTCTCCTCTAGAAGCTCGTCAATATTCAACCTGAACTGTTCCTCGACCAGAGACATGTTCTCGCTTTCTACAGCCATGATGGAATAGTCATCGCTTGTCAAGTGGTTTTCTACAGTCAAGTCATTACAGTCTTCAAGACCCTTCTGTAAGAGGCTCATTTTCTCTCTTAGTAGCTTGATCTCATCATCTTTTGTCGCGTTCTCTGTTTTCAGCTTTGTTTCTGTTTCATCCATTGTTTTCTTCATGTCCTTGTAGCTCCTGAGAATGGTTGTGTACTCTGTAAGCAGATGCTTTTCTCTGTTCTCCATTCCCTTCATGTACATCTCTTTCCAGTCTGGCTCACTTTCCAATTGCTGTGTGCTATTGAAAGTGATTTTAGATTCTTTAGAAGACATCTGCTTCTCTAAGACATGATCTGAAACATAAGATTCTGTCTTGTCGGATGCAGCTTGCTCAGAAGAATCTGTCTTTGCAGATGCAGACTCCTCTATAACATTATCAAGAAGCACAGAATCTGTCTTCTCAGATTGCTTCTTTGAATCAACTTTTTCAGTAGATTCCTGAACATGGTCTGGACTTTTACTTAGAGTGTTGATATCTTCTGAAATTGTTGTCACATTGTGAGTTTGTTCAGAGCTTCCACTCTTTTCAGCTTCTTCAGAAGCATCTAAACTCATCTTCTCACTTTCCAGATCTTTCTTGGGTTCCATCAAGTTATCAGACTCTGCCTTCACCTCATGCGACTTCCCATTAGAGAGGTTATCAAGATTCTTGCATGCTTCATCAAAATCTGTATGCAGATTGCTACTCTTAGCCATAACATTCCTGTCCATGTCCTGTATTGCTTTGAGTTTCTCCTCCGTTTCCTTCAGCTTCTTCCTCAGATCACTCTTGTCATCTGCCAACGTCGCCTTATCGGTTTCAAGACTACTGATCTGTGTCTGAAGACCGTTTGTCTCGTTTCTTAACCTCTCTATCAAAGCAGTCTGTGAAGAAACAGCACTCTCCAAGCTAAGCACTTTGTTCACAAGCTCATCAACTCTCTCAGCCATCTCTGTAGCATTGAGTGAAGAGTCCTCAAAATGTTCTCTAATCTTCTCCTTCACAGACTCCAGCTCTTGCTTCTTCCTAGACATCTCTCTCATCTCATGTTCCAGCTCAACTTCATCACCATCAAAGACACTTTCCTCCCCTAGAAACTGACTAGCCATTGATCTAAGCTTCTTTTTAGACTCCTTAATCTTCACATGCTCTTCTCTAGCTTCTTCACAAGCCTTCTCTTGCCTCTCCTGCAGCTCCACCAGCTTCTCCTGACACGACTTTATTGCGGTCTCGGTCATCAATCTCCGAGCTTCTTCGTCTTCAATCACAACACTCTCACCAAACTCATCTTGCAAACCACAGATCCTCTCTTGCTTCTCCTTGATGCTCTTCTCAAACTCCCAGTACTTTGACAAACCTCTCTCGTAAGAGCTTTTGAAAAACTCCTTCTCCGTCTGCAAGGACAGAATCTCTTTCTGAAGCTTATCAATCTCTCCCACTGCCTCGGATTTGCTCAAACCAGAGCTCTTGACAACCACATTAGCAGAAGCACCGCCTGTGTACTTCATAGACTTCCTTGGCTGAAGCTTCTTTGTAGCCACTTTAACCGCTGTTTTCAAGTCTTTAACAGGTAGTTTTGGGACATCGGGGACATTATTATTAGCATCAGAATGGTTCTGTCTTTTGGAGAACTTCGAATCTCCTCCATCATCATCATCATCGTCCATTGCAAAGTTTGGGACTTGGTCGGGGAAAGCAGAGGCAATGGTCGTGTTGGCGTTTTGAAGCTCTGTGGAGATGTGATCGTAACGCTCGGCTAAAGCTCTGTAAGCTCTGAAAGATTCTTCGACAAAGGTTATGAGTTCTGGTCTCTTCTTGTAATACATCTCTGCACGCTTGGCAAATGAGTCTCCATCTTCTTGTAATAGTTTCAACACATATTGCACCTTCTCTTCAATATCTGTAAAGCAAGCACAGAGATCTCTTTTAGATCATTACAATCTTAAAAGATCATTCAAAAATCAAACAGTTACATACATGTGAGTATGTAGAGAGACAAAGAGAGAGAGAGACCTTGAAGGTTTTGTTCGAGCCATTTAGATTGTTTGGTACGAATATGACTCGCCCACCACCATGAATAAGCGTTACTCGCAGCTCTCTGCAGCATCTTCTTCTTCCTCTATGTAATAATATATATATATGATCAGACACAAAACGTTTTGTTTTGTTTTGTTATTACTATGGTCTCTCTTTTGTTCTTGTCATTCAAGTTCCAAGAAAAAACAGAACAGAGAAAAGCGTATGTGTGTAATCCTTCTCTCTCTAGATCTCAATAAGAAAGGGAAAAAAGGAAAAACTTTCAGAGAAAGAAAGAGAAAATTTTCTGTTAAGGTTAGACCCACCATGAAAGCTACGTTTTTTTTTCTTAAGATATTTTTCCTTTTTTTGATCAAAAGAATAAAGAGATTGGATTTGAGGAAAGAACGTGCAGCTAATAAGAAATGAATTATGAGTAGGGAACTTTCTATTGATCTCTCCTTTAAGCTGAGCTGAGCTGTTTGGTATGATCATGGGTGGGAGCAAACCTAGCTCTTCTTTCTTTCTCTCTCTACCTAATATTTTTTGGTGAAATATTTTTTCTTTTACTTTAAGACACTATTTTATTGCTGAATTAAATAATTAATTAAGTTTTTTACTACATTGAAAAATTTATTGTTACAGATGTATTTATTATGCTAGCGTCGAAGCATTTTCCGATTGTTCTTTGGTATCAAAGTGTTACTAGATTTTGATTCACACACCTGTGTGAACGTTTATTTAAATTTTATATGTATATAATATTTTAGAGATGTTTAATCTGTTAAAACTGAACTAATTAAAACCAAACTGAAATAAAGAAAAACTTTAGATTTGGTAATACAGAATAATTGAATGAATATTTTAAAAAATTGTGGTATATAGATATTTATTGGTATATAAAAGGATTAAACTGAAGAAAATGATTAATTAAAATATGGTAGTATGATTATATATAGATTATATAATAAAATTAATAATTTATACGTAATTTATTTTATTGATATGGTTTACATATTTAAATGTAAATTTCACTAAATAATATTTTTTAAAGTTAAAAGTTATGGTAATACTTATTTTTATTTTATGAAAGTTGTTTTTGTTAGTAGAATAGTATGTTTACTAATTATTTTAAATGGTAAAACAGAAAAAAATTATACTTATTAAGAAATGAAAATATTATGTTTTAGTAAAGCCGATATCTAATCATATAACGTAAAATTCACAAAATGTTATAAAATAAATATATTTATAATTTTTGGTATAAAATTAAAGTAAATGAAAAACTGGTGGTTCAAACTAAAAGGAAACAAATTAGATATTGTTTTAATATGGTAGCTATTTAAAACAAAATCCTCAAAAACTGCAAGTGAACCCTAATTTAGAATAACATTCCATTGAATAGTGCTAGATTATCATTAGATAATTATTTGTATTGGATGATTTTTTTTTGTTTTTATTATATATTATTTATTTCTTGTAAGTATAATGTAATATTCTATTTTTAAATAAATCAAATCGATTGTATATATATATATATATATATATATATATATATATATATCCTACAATTGTTAAGGTTGCAAGGGAGAAAAATATGGAAACTATTTTTTGAATTAGTTAATTTTAGAATAATTCAAAAATATTGATTGGATTATGCTAGTTCAAATATAGATATTAATTTATAATATATACATTAAATTACATGTTAAATAAATTGATTGTCTTGTTTCATAATAAAAAAATTGATAAAATCTATTTTAACGGAAACATATTAGGTTGTTTAGGGAAATTTCTACTTAGGAATATGCATTAATTAATTGGAAAAGACACCATTAGTAAAAGAAAAAATATATTTAAAACTTCAGTGGAAGTGTAGTGTAAATAATTTGAAAACTGAGTGATAATTTCTAAGTGTGCTTCTATTTTAATAATCTAGATATAGAACAGAAAGCATAACAGAAAAAATATTTTGTATATAATTTATCAATTAAATTGATCTTTAATGACATTTTGTCGGTTTTTTATAAGAAAAGATGTCCAAGCAAGCAAAAGCCTCCTGTTCTTCTTCAAACATTTAATCAATTGAATCTGACAGAACATTTTTCCACTTTTTGACGGTTTAAACATGAACCGACCAGAAAGAAACTTCTTTCTTGTCAAAGTATCGCTGCTGAGGTAAGCCCGGGACCCGACTAATCTCTGGGTTAATGTAACGTAATCATGTCCTGATAGTTTTTTAAAACAAAAACAAAGTGAGGACATGTCCTGGATACTTTACGCCTAGATTATTACATGTGATCGCTAGAACTTGAAATCACATACATGGAATTTACCCAGACCAAGATGCAGTAATAGACTACACAAATTCTGGTTGGGAAAGTAAAATAAATAATTATTTCTTTAGAAAATATGTGGATTTAAATGTACGAAAAATAAGTTCAATAAATAAATACTGTAAATCTTTTTTAGTACAATTGGTCTCTGGTGTAATATTTTGGAAATCTAATCATGTACTTAACACTACTAGTCAAAACTCAAAAGATTTATATTTTGAAATGGTTGATAATATAGAAAAATAATCCTAATATATAAAAAGGGTTGAGAATCTCTACTGTCTACTTATAGCATCTTCAACCTCACTTTATAATTTCCTATAAAATAGAATGGGAAATGAAAAAAATAAGAAACAAAAACACAATTATTCCATTTATGCAGTAGTCTAGTTTTTTTTCATCACTCTATTTTCCACTCTATTCAATTCCATTTTGCAGTAAATCATGAATTGGGGTTGGAGAAGCTCTTAGAACCCATCACTATCCAAAAAGTTATTTTTGTGGTTGGTAGTGGTTGTTGGCATTTTACACAATCACAAAAACGCTATAAACCGCTTCAGATCGTTCAAGCTGGTTCTAACTATAGTTTGTGGTTACGAATGGTTGTGGAAAGAAAAAACATCATTTTTTTCAAAAAACTATATAAATATAAAAAGAAATATTCAATTAAAATTTTAAAATTAAAATAATATAAATACCAATATATATATATATATATCATATTTTCATTTATCTTATAAAAATTCAAAACAAAAATATTTTCTATAGTTTTTTAAAATTTGATAGTATAACTTTATCAATAGCATTTTTATATTTATAATAAAAATATGATTTTAATATTTTTATAGTTATATAAAATATAAATATTATTTATTTAATTTTAACCAGTATTGCATTTGGTAGTTAACTAGTTATAAGTATCCCACAAACGCAACAATTTTCAATCGTCTAAATCTCTTACTAATGATTAGACTGCAACTTTTCGTATATGCGAACATCCGCAACCACAACCACAGCGTTTACACCAGTCAGGCCCTTAGACATGGAAATTCAAACCAATTAGGTGAATTTCTCGTGTTCATTCACATATATAAATATTTATTTACTTACAAAGTTAATAAATTGTAATAAATAATCGATATCTGCACTGCATTTAAACTAGTTTATAATGTATATGTATAAATAATGATATTTTAATTTTAGTTAGAAATCTAGTTTAAGGTAGAATATTTTGTCAGTTCGGTTATCATACATGGTTGATTTCAATATTTTTATTATGTGTACATTAGTGTAGGGTTCTGTATTAATTAAACCCAGTTTGTTTTTAAATATATTAAGATTAGTGTTGGTAATTAATATAGTAAGTTAATGAATATTTGGAATTTCTTTGATTAATATTTGTTGAAATCTTTATATACCAAGATTAATATTTGTCCATTTTAACAAAATCTTATTATATAAAGTTTGGTTTTTCAAAGTTACTAATTAACATGATCACGACATGTGACAATAAAAATTGTGAGATTGTGACATGTGTCAAAACATTAATCATAAATATATAATCAATAAAAAATATTTGAAAGTATTTTGTTCCTTTTTTAAAAATTCTAAATAAAAGATAATCGTAAATAGTTATTTTTAAGTAATTTTTTTTTAAATCTCAAATTCCATATTTTAATTCCTACACAAAGAGAATTATAAAATAAAATAGTATTTTTCAAAAATATATAAAAAACGAATTATAAATTTTAGAAATACTTATAAAAATATTTAATAAAATATTTCCTTTTTTTATTAAAATCCTAAACAAAAGGGGTGTAAAAGTAAATATTCAGCTATTTTTTTTGTAAATAACTAACTTTCCTATTTAGTAGAAAAATTCCTATTTTAAAAATTATAAACCAAAAGTATTTTGTTATTTAAAAAAAAATCCTAAGTAAAAGATAACTGTAAATAGTTATTAGCAAGTAATTTTCTTGAATTCATACACAAAGAGAATTTTAAAATAAAATAGTATTTTTGAAAAATATATAAAGCGAAAACGAATTATAAATTTTAAAAATACTTATAAAAAATATTTCATAATTTTCCTTTTCTGAAAATCCTAAACAAAAGAGATGTAAAAGTAAAATTTCAGCTATTTGTTTGTAAATAAGTAACTTTCATGTTTAATATAAAATTTCCAATTTTATAAATCATAAACCAAAAGAACTACAAATATTTCATTTATATAGGTCTAACAGTTTAAGCTTTCTCATATTTTTTCACATAAGACAATAATATATAGAACAAAAATATTACGTGAGTATCTTTTTATTTTCATGATACACACTATAATTTTATTTTTATGATACTTTTTACATCTTATGATAATGCTGTAACTGTTGTAAAATTATGATGAGGTCGTTGTAAATGATTACATATTAATATTATGAATAAGTGTTCTTACATGTAAGAAAATATATAATTAATTTTAATATCACTTTATTACAATATTATGTTTTACATGTTTATAAGTGTCATAAGTCACTTTTACCTCATTTTCTACTTTTTCAATTCAGTATTTTTCTTCTAACTTAATTTTTTATTGAGGATCATAAAGTAAAAATGAATTCATATAGTTGTTTAACATATGTTCAGTTTAATAATTTTTTTTATTAAGTATAGTACACTTTTACGAGAAAAGGAAGAGCAAAAAAAATGAAAATGAATTACAAACTTATATAAATGAATTTTATTTCACATGACGAGAAAG